CCCCCTCCTGCGTCAACTTGCACGCTATATTTCCAAGAAGGGTCACGCCGCAATGACGTATTCGCCTTTTCTTTACCTCTAACCATGTCTCCTAAAGCAAAAAATCAAATACACAAAAAAAAAACTAAACCCTAGTTTAAGTTAAACTTGAAAAATATAACCCTAAACTTAATAAAAATACCTAAAATCCAATGTGGAGTACTCCTAGAGGGCGGCCGGAAGTTTCAACTTAGCAGGAGAGAGGCGGCGCCAGCGGGAGGAGCGACGGGAAGGAGGCCGACGGCGTGCAGGAGGCTCTGTTTTGCGAACTGGAGAGTGCGGGAGCTCTGTTTCGCGAACTGAAGGGGGAAAAATCGGGTGCCTTCGGGTATAGGGGGAGAAAAGGATTCAATTTAAGTGAGTGGGCCCTATCCCAGTGAGGCGTACGCCTCACCAGGAATTGCGCAGTTGCGCCTCTGAGGCGCGCCTCAATCCCAGTGAGGCGTACGCCTCTTACAGAGGTGGAATTGCGTAGGTTCTGAGGCGTTTTTGGGAGGAATTGCGCAGAGGCGCACCTCAAGGCGCGCCTCTAATTGCGCAATTTTAAACAGAGAGACCAGCTGGGAATAAAATTGGTGGACACAGGCTGTTACGGAGTGATGATGGGTACATGGAAGATAGAGAAAGGTCAGGGGATTTGTAGAGAAGTACGACTGACGATCCAGGGGATACAGGTGAGGGAGGACTTCCTTCCACTAGAGCTGGGGAGCACGAATGTCATCCTGGGGATGAATTGACTGCAAACTTTGGGTGACACCAAGGTGAATTGGGGAGCACTCACGATGGAGTTGATGGTGGATGGAAGGAAGGTAGTAATTAAGGGGGGCGCGGGGCTTTCCAAATCCCTAGTTTCTCTTAAAACGATGGTAAAAGATGTCCAGTTAGCAGGCGGAGGATATTTAGTGGAATTGCAAAGTTTAGAGGGAGCAAGAGTGGAAGAAGGAAGAGACATACCCCTCTCCATCCAGCCGTTGATTCAGCAGTTCCAAGAGGTGTTTCAGCCACCCCAGGGATTGCCACCCCTGAGGGAGCAGGAACATGCCATCGTGTTGAAAGAGGGAGTGTCACCCATCAGTGTCCGACCTTACCGCTACCCTCAGTTCCAAAAAGATGAGATAGAGAGGTTGATTAGAGAAATGCTGGAGGCAGAGATCATCAGACCCAGCATCAACCCTTTTTCTAGCCCTGTTCTGTTAGTAAAAAAGAAGGATGGCAATTGGCGTTTTTGTGTGGACTACAGAGCACTCAACAAGAAAACTGTACCAGACAAGTTTCCTATACCTATCATTGACGAGCTACTAGCTGAACTCAGTGGAACCGTGATTTTCAGCAAGAGAGATTTAAAATCTAGTTACCACCAGATCCGAATAAAGGAGGATGTACCCAAAATGGCCTTTAGAACTCATGAAGGACATTATGAGTTCCTGGTGATGCCGTTTAGCCTTTACCAATGCTCCAGCAACTTTTCAGGCCCTTAGGAACAAGTTTCCTATACCTTATCTCAGACGATTTGTACTAGTATTCTTTGACGACATCATAGTCTACATCAGGACAGAAGAGGAGCATTGGGAGCATTTGAAAAGGGTGCTAGAGGTACTACAGGAGCACCAGCTGAGGGCTAACTTGAAGAAATGTTGCTTTGCAGAAGCCAATGTAGAATACTTGGGTCATGTGGTATTTAAAGGAGTTGCAGCAGATCAATCCAAAATTGAAGCTATGATAAGGTGGCCAGTGCCAAAAAATCTGAAAGAATTAAGGGGATTCCTAGGACTGACGGGTTACTACAGGAGGTTCGTAAAAGGGTATAGCTCCATAGCATGGCCACTCATTGAACAATTAAAGAAGGACGGGTTCCTATGGGGAGAAGCAGCTACAGCAGCATTTGAGAGCTTAAAGAAGGCAATGACTACGGTACCGGTCCTAGCCTTACCAGATTTCACTCAGACCTTTATTGTGGAGACAGATGCTTCAGGATACGGCCTGGGTGCAGTACTGATGCAGAGTCGCAGACTCATTGCCTATTTTAGCCAGGTATTGACCACTAGAGCCCGACTGAAGTCAGTGTACGAGAAGGAATTAATGGCCATCATATTAGCCATCCAGAAGTGGCGGCCCTACCTGCTGGGGACATTTCATAGTCAGGACAGATCAGCGAAGCCTGAAATACCTACTGGAACAACGGATGGCGACGGAAGAGCATCAAAGGTGGTTGTCCAAATTGCTTGGGTATGACTTTGAGATTCAGTACAGACCAGTAGTAGAGAACAAAGCGGCAGATGCTTTGTCTAGATGCATGGGGGAATTGTAGGCAGTGGCATTATTCGTTCCTTTGATACTAGACTGGGAGGCTATCATGGAAGAAAGTGCTAGAGATGAAGAACTTGGAAGATTCAAGGAAGCTTTGCTAAAATAGGAGGGTAGCCATCCAGGGTACTCATTAGAGGGAGACAGACTACTATATCAGGGAATATTTGTGATGCCTCGGACCTCGATCCACATCCCAAATCTACTCCAGGAATTTCATGGGAGCGCAGTGGGGGGCCATTTAGGAGTGCAGAAGACCTATAACAGATTGGCGGCCGAGCTTTACTAGAAGGAAATGCATAGAGATGTAGAAGAGATGGTGGCAAGGTGTGAGATCTGTCAGAGCAACAAGTATTTGGCTATGTCACCAAGAGGACTACTACAGTCGTTGGCACTACCAGGACGAGTCTGGGAGAAGATATCCATGGATTTCATAAATGGGCTGCCCTACTCAAAAGGTTTCACAGTAATCTTGGTAGTGGTGGATAGATTGAGCAAGTACGCTCATTTCATTCCCCTCCGACATCCTTACACCGTGGTGACAATGGCTTCAGCGTTCATTAGAGAGGTGGTCAGATTACATGGCATACCAGAGGCGATTATGTCAGATAGAGATAAGGTATTCCTCAGTCATTTTTGGATAGAATTGTTCAGGTTACAGGGGACAGTTCTAAAAAGGAGCACCGCTTACCACCCACAGACAGATGGCCAAACAGAGGTGATCAATAGGAGCTTGGAGACCTATTTGAGATGTTTTGTGTTGGAGACACCCAAACTTTGGGCCAAATGGCTGTCCTGGGAAGAGTACTGGTACAACACCTATTTTCACTTAGCTTCACAAATAACTCCATTCAAGGTGCTGTACGGAAGGGACCCCCTCACTTAGTACACTTTGGGAGAGCAGTACTCCAGTCTCTTCCGTAGAGGAGTACTTAGAGGAAAGGGATCGAGTATTAGAGGAATTAAAGAAACATCTACTGATAGCTCAACAGATTATGAAAAAACAGGTCGATGGGCATAGGAAGGACATCCAGTTCGAAGCAGGAGATAAAGTGTTCATAAAACTCCGACCATACCGACAGAAGACAGTGGCCAACAGAAGAAATGAAAAGCTCGCCCCAAGATACTTTGGACCTTATGAAATATTAGAGAAAATCAGAGCAGTGACATATCGGCTAAAATTACCACTCACGGCAACTATTCATCCGATTTTTCATGTGTCACAGCTGAGAAGAGCTATTGGAGATTATACAGCCAGCTCAGAGTTACCAGCCACTCTTACAGAAGATTTAGAGGTGATTATGGAACCCTTAGAGTTGATGGGGGTTCGTTAGCAAGAAGAAGGGGCAAAAGAAGTACTGATCAAGCGGAAGAATCTTCCAGACTACGATGCCACGTGGGAGCCGTACGAAAGGGTGAAGCAACAGTTTCCTAGTTTTCACCTTGAGGACAAGGTGATTCTTCGGGAGGGCGGTATTGATACGGCGGTTCCTTTGGAACCGCCTTTTGAGACGGTTCCTTCTGAACCGCCTCAGCCGGCACTTGTATATCAAAGGAGGAAATCTCGCCTCTTTTCTTGCCCAAATTAAATTACCGCCTAGAGGTGGGGTCCACGGGATTTGAATTTATTTGAAATTTATTTTTAGGAAAGATTTAAGGAGGTGGAAAAGTCTTTAAATAGGAGAGGTAAGGGGAAGGGAGAAGCATGCAAGTATTGTTTTCTTCTTGGAGTTTCTTGGGTGCTTTGGGCTCTAGACTCTCTTGTCTAGAGATTTGGGAGAGACGATCCTCCTCTCGAATTGAGGATCACTTGTATCTTGCTTTCGTATTGTTTGTTCTTTGTTTCCCTTATTGCAATCTATTATTTTGGGCATATTTCGCCCAGATTTTGGCTTATTTCTCGCTGTTTTGTCTCCAATTAGTAATAGGTTTGCTTGCGAACTCAAGTATTCCCTTAGGGTTGCTTGCGAACTCAAGTATTTCCTATCATTTCTCTAGCCTCATAGCAAAGTTGACGAGAAGGATTAACATCAATATTCCTACTAAATAAAGCATCTGTTGTTTTTAATCCTCCTACCAAAATCATCCAGGAATATACAGAGTACCTTAGAGCATACTTTTTATGCCAAATATTACAACAACAACAACAACATCAAGCCTTTGTCCCACTACGTGGGGTCGGCTACATGAATCATTTTTCTCCATTGTGCCCTATTAAAAGTCAAATTCTAAGAATGCTGAATATAAAAAAAATATCCGAAATTTTGTTTACTATCTTTTACAAAGCTCAAAAAAGCCTGATAATCACCCGGAATGTTAAATTGAGAGAGCAGCAAAAACAATATTAGGCCAGTTATAAGGAAAATCCCATCTGCCTCTAGTAATCACATCTTTAACTTTAAATTAGAATGATATTTCAAAGCAAGAAAAAAGCCATAATAAATCTCATAAAGAGATTTTCCATTTATCCAAGAATCTCAAATCAGAGAAAGATTACTCTCAGCATGAATAAAATAAATAAATTAAAAAAAAAATACTCTCAGCATGAATATTGAAAGTCCCCAAATTTTTAAAAGTATTAAAAAAACTCCCTCAGCATTTTCCAAACCTTGGAATAAGGATAGGAAAAAGGCTTCCACATAGAAAGATATCTTTCATTCCACCAGCAAGACAGCAAGCTATCCTTATGATTAAAAAACTCCAAATGAGTACACAATTAATGGCACAAACATCAACACAATCATCATCAAAATGAGGTAATTGAGCTAATCACAGATCCAAAATTTATACAAAGCTCAAACTTGCATTCAAATTTTCTCACCATAAATTACATATAAACTAATCAATTACTTTGAATAACTACATGCTTCCAATAATTACATGGGCTTTCCTGCAGCCATGTCAAGAAGCCACCTGATTAAGAATTAGTACGGCATCTGCGGACTTTACAAACTAACAAAAATCATAATCATCATCAAATAAACTAAACGAGCAAATTCAGGAAAAAAAAAAGTGCAAGCATAAACTAGCATTTTAATTATCTATTCTCAACATAATTAAACAAATTATAGCAAAAATTTATACAAATCACTAGCCGAAAAAATGCCAAGGGATTGGCGGAATACATAGACCTGATTCAGAATTAGTCCCAGCGTCAGAAAAAGATCACATCGAGATGAAGTTGACTTATAGTATCTTCCATTTCTGCTCCAGCAAGCTGCACTGAGTGGGTAATTTGAAACTGTAGGAAGCACAGGGAAAACATAGTGGCTAAATTTTATGGCAGAGCACAGCCTGATGAACGAAGGAAAATAGAAAGTTGTTTGAGCATAAATCAAGTTCTATAATTATTTAGCTAACATATCAAGCATTTAAAAATGATAAATTATTTACACATCGAGTGCATTTAGTTGCTCATAGATAGAAAACATAGAATATATTTTCAGATTTGTTTCTTTTTCGCTCATTTAGTGAAACTGAAATAACCATTTTTGAGAAATTTATAGGGTAATTCATAAAATTAAAGACTAATATTGGTTTTAAACTGCACAAGCAAATGAGACGAAACAAACATCCACAAATGAAAAAATAACATTTAAAGAGAGGCAAATTATGGTAGCTTGTCACTTGCTGCTGCTTAGAGGAATGAAGGGAGGGTAGTTGTCACTTGCACATTTGTAGGTAGCCTTCAGATAGAAGATTGTTATAGGAGGTAAATAATCCAAGGTTAAACTAATTTGTAAATGATAAATGATTAATAACCAAACTGAAACATTTACATTGATCATAAATAAGATATGAGTAATAATTGAGGAGGAAAATATAAAGAGACCATGCTGTGTTGAAATCAAGGAGGATATGCAACAACCATGCATCATGAAGGGATTTTCAATGAGAAGTATATGCTTTCTACCAACTCTACACCAACCACTGCACATATAATCTTATCTACCACCCTGGTGAATTGTGAAACCGAAGTATCATTCATGAATGAAAAATAAATTTATATAAAGCGTTACAAAATATTAAATCAAAATTCCTTCAGCATAAAACAATATACCTGATATGAAGTCATCTATAAATCCTTTATCAATGACTCCATGAGCCATAGCACCCACCTGAAAATTGCCACAAATTGGATATAAATGAAAAGAATGCAAGCAAAAAAGGAAAGATTAAAAGGGCCATTATAGCATACCATAAAAACAAGGTTGACAATGTCACTAGCAGCAGCAACAAAGGCCTAGAAAAACAAAGAAAAATTAGCCGCAGTTAAGCATTCATTCCAACAATGATCAATAAATCAATGTTAAAAAGGTTTAAGAATCACCTATTTTTCTTGAGTTAACAGGTAAGTGATCTGTTACAGGATTCTTAATCAGAGGTGAAGCTTCGCACGTTTGCCTACGGCAGTAATTTTTTACTTTTCTAACAACTGCACTGAAAAAGAATAAGGGACCACATATAAGTAATAATACTATAAACATGCAACTCTTTTATGGGCAATAAATTTGAAAAAAAAAAATAATGCAATTCAGGCTACAAACAGACATGCTCAAACAATATGGAATATTCTAACAGTGAAAAACCCATAAGACCACAGCATTGCCTGAAGGTTCTTGGAACACGAACATGTGGTTTGACTTCGATGAGTGCATGCCGTGTTGAACGTACATATAGAGCTCGAAGCCTACCAGCTTTAGTTAAGAGGCTATCCAATATAGCAATAGGTGCCTGAAATCGCCATAGTTCAACTAGCAACGAAAGAGACAAAATTTACACGAGTTTTATGAATTTATCACAAACCTGATGAACAATGTCAGGACAATAATCAGAAGGATCTTTACTCTGCTTTTTTAGTAAATTAGCATACTCATCAGAGTTCAGAAGAACATGTTTTTGAAAAAAAGAAACATGAGGGATAGAGTCAATGTATACCTTTGTAAACATTTATGAATTAATTAAGTGTGAAAAAATTGAATTAAGTGCAATAATAAAAAAATAAAGGGCTTCACCTTTTCCACATAGATTCTAAACTTAAATAAGAAGTATAAATCATAAGTGCAAGATATTTTAGGAGGGGTCATCACAGAGATTTGATAAAAGAAACTGTTTGAAGTATGCTCATCCATGTCTGACTCCAATCATTTTGTTAATGCAAATGGAGACTAGATACACCGTAAGATTTTAATGAGAAAAACATTGATGTTGCAAGTTATATATAAAAAAAAAACAGAAGAGCACCCAAAAAGGAAATTTACTTGAGCCTGCAAAAAAGCACCAGTTCGTCTTATTCAACACAATCATAAGCCATTTTACATAAAACATGCATTCCTCACCTGCGACTAACTCTTATCAGAACTAGGGAAATGTAACTAACTTCAGTATTCAGGATTTGATATTTCACAAGAAGACCTCTTTTTTTAGCAGAGCGCCAATGAACTCGGGATCTGATATTTCACAAGAAAATCTTCTACTTTAGTAGAGCACCACATGTATGAAATTACATAATCAGGTATTGATGTGTTTTTTTTCTCCACAAGATGAAGTGCAAACCTCAAGGTGTAAACCTCAAATTAAACCATTAAATTAATTAAAATATAAATAATAATCAAACATTATAAATAATCAAAGGCTGTAAAAGTCATATAAGACTATAACTGATACTAAATAAACAATCTCTCTTTTCAACATAAACAATCAGTTTAAAATCAGAATTCATGAAACTCAAAAGTCTCTCTCTTTCATTATTTAGAGGGTCTTTATTAGAATCATCAGTGTAGTTAATTGCTTTCTCATCTAACTAATATTAAAAATAAGGAAACGGGGTTTCCAAAAACAAAAGAAGAGGTTTTTGAGAAGTAGCCGGGGTGGCATAGCAATGGAAGTAACACAGCATGATGGAGTGTGAACATGAGGGTTGTGCGGCGTGCATCGTGTGGCTGCGAGTTTAAGGTCGTACAATTCTTTCAACTCTAGTCTAGTTTAGGTATAGTAAGCAGGTTTAATTATAAACATATAATTTATAAATTAAAATTTTAAAATTACCTAAAGAATAATCTTTTAGGCTTATGCAACTTCAAAATTGCACTAAGGCATACCAGGCACACTTCACCCCACTTAAGTCATAAACAGCAAGTGGGAGGTGCATGAACTTTTATTACGTCCTCTGACCAGACGTAGCTCTACGTTCGGTCAGAGGATTGTTACTCGGTTTTTGCTCGGTATTTGGTCGGTATTGCTAGGTATTGTTTAGTAATAACGAGGAATACCGCTCTGTGAAGACCAATACCGAGCAATACCGAGTTTTTCTATAAAAAACTCAGTATTTTTTGGGATTACTCGGTATTGCTCGGTATTGCTCGGTATTACTCGGTATTTTGTCTTCACATAATGGTATTTCTTGTTATTGTTGGTATTGCTCGGTATTTCTCGTTTTGTGCCTGCGATCTTAGTGCCGGGCGAACGTAGCTCTACGTACGTTCACCGGACCAAATAAAAGTTCGAGGTGCACGCCTCATCGCCTACTTTTTTTTTATTATGTTGAGGCAAACCTTATGGCGACACACACACATATGTGTAGGACTATATTGTGATGCATAAAATCTTCTTAGAAAAATTGAAAAGAAAGGAGTAAATAATCATAATTAAATTAAATGAATTAAATTAAAATAATGTTTATTTAAGTTGCATTTATCTTGGTAATTTTAAAAAAATATATTATAGTTTAAATAGTTCAAAAAAAAAAACTTGCTTGTCATGTAATACAGTTAGATACGTACAATAAAAAATTATAAGAAAAAAAATATTTTAAAATAGAACATTATTTTAATAATCATATTATATTTCTAATTCATTATAGAATAATTGAATTAGTATAACATGATTTGGTTCATAATTATGATTAATTAATGTAATTCATAAATTAACATTTTTTTTAATTTAGGCCTAGTTATGTGATTTACTCATCGTAATGCAAATGGTTCGTCCAGTCATTCGATTCCGTGATTCAAGTACCACCGTCATTCGCATTTCACACGTGAGCTTGTGTCGTTAATGTTCTGCAGTCCGCACACAAGTACACTGTCATTCGCATTCCGCACAGAGCAAGCATCTTTCGCTTCCCACAGTCCACACGCAAACCCAACGATGAGTCATTCATGTTTCGCACGTGAACGCCTTCCACAGTGCGACGCAATCCCACAGTCGTTTGCCAATTCACACATGAGCCCTTGTCATTCGCCAATCCGCACACGAGCCCGCATTCCGCTTCTAGCTCAACCATTTGAAATTCCCACCAAGACATAGTGTTGGCCCAGCCATTCGAAATTCCCACCATCGTTCTATCTTTTATTTGCGTCCCACTTCGAGCCGCATTCCATCTTTAATGTTTAAATATTTTATTAAATAATTAATTAATGACAGGCCGGATTGTGAGCTCACGAGCCGAGTCTCATTGAGCTCGAGCTCGAGCTCGTCGCTCAATAAGCTCGGCTCATGAACTTTTTAACGAGTGGAGCTCGATCTAGAATGTCTCTAATGTAAAGAGAGCATTGAAACTAAATAGGGGATCTCACTTATCTCAAACAGTGAAATGTCTCTATTGTAAGAAGAATATCAAAGGAGAAAAAAAGGAAAGGAGGAGAAAGTTCCTTTTACAACAAAGATGGGCACTGAATTTGGATAGATGATGCTACCTATTAAAAATAATAGAAAGCCTCTAAAATTAGAATAAAAATGGGGAAGAGAGAGAAAGAAAACTCTAACTTCTACACAAAAGAAGGGCACTATTACTTGATAAGGGATAACACCTGTTCAATACAGTGGAAGGCCTCAACTGTAAGAAAGTTAGAAGAACAAAAGAGAAAGAGAAGATGAGCAATTTTCCTCTTGCCACAGGAGAGTAATTATAGGACAAAAAATGGGAAAATGGTTCAAAAATTGGGGGGAGGGGGGATCTGCCTCCAAAGTTGTTCAAAATATGTTTGAATTTTTTTTCGAAATTTTTTGGGTCCCATTCTAAAATTTTTATATTTCCTTAATATATATATATATATTAAAAATAAAAAAAATATAAGTGGGTGGCACTATAGCTGCCACACGCATGGTTAAAAAAAAGGTGTGCAGGGCCCAAAAAAAAAAACCTTAATAAAAGACGTGCAGCAGCGCCTCTTGCAGCTAAGAAGAAACCTGCACAATAAAACAGTAACACAAGACAAGCAAATAGCTAAAAGGATAGTATATTTTGTGTCCTCCTTCGTTCCCGAGAAAAGAGTTTATATCCTCATTCTAGCTGAGGAATTCCTATTACTATAACTACTTCTATGTAGTAAAAGGTGCCAGATGTACTAAACTAGAAGAAAATAGCAAACAGTTAGAAAAAGGAGATAGTGGGCACATGAGCCTGATGGGTTCCTGCCAGCTCAGCCAAATAACCCGCATCAGTTCCCTCCTGCTTCGAAAGAACTCATCTTCGATGAGTGTATTGCAGTGGCAGCTTCATCTGGAGGATGATACGGATAGATGTCGGCAACATTAAAGGTTGCCGAAATAGCGAGGTCCTTCGGAAGATCAATAACATATGCATTATCGTTGATCTTACGCAAAACTGGAAATGGGCCAAACTTCTTGGGATGTAGCTTTGGACAAGAGCATGTGGGGAACCGGTCTCTGCGATATCTGAGCATTACCAAGTCTCCGGGTTGGAAGCTAACAACCCTTTGATGTTTATCTTGTGCTGCCTTGTATTTCATATTAGTGTCTTGTAAGCGTTCACGAACATTCTTCAGGATCTCGGAGAACTGTTCGCCGGATTGAGCCGCAGCAGCACTTCGGCATTTCGGGAGGACGGCCACATCTACAATGTGATTAGGCATTTTCGTGTACACAATGCTAAAAGGACACATACCTGTAGCACGATTAGGCATAGAATTATAAGCAAATTCCGCTTGTCCTAGAACTTCTTCCCATTGCTTACGATGATCCTGAACCAAGCACCACAGCATGCTGGCAAGAGTGCGGTTAGTGACTTCGGTCTGGCCATCCGTCTGCAGGTGATAGGCCGAACTCATTTTAAGATCCATTTGAAACCTCTTCCATAGCTCTCGCCAAAAGTGACTGATGAACTTAACATCCCTGTCCGATGTTAAGCTCCGGGGAATGTCGTGTAAACGAACAATCTCTTTAAAAAATAATTTGGCGATATTCATGGCATCGAATGTCTTCTTGCAAGCGACGAAGTGGGCCATTTTGGAGAACCGATCGACTACCACCATTATCGAGTCTGAGCCCCTCTTGGTCCGTGGCAGCCCCAGGACGAAATCTAAACTAAGGTCCTCCCAAATTGTGTATGATACTGGTAGTGGTAGGTACAGTCCGGTGTTTTGTGCGGTCCCCTTGTATTGTTGACAAACTGCACACCTCTCCACGAATCGGGCCACATCTCGCCTCATATGCGACCAAAAAAACTTACATTGCAGTTGTTGGAGGGTGCGATCACGACCCACACAAGCCGCTAGGCCGCTACAATGGATATTTTTAATAAGTTGTTGCCGCCAGGATGACTCTGGCACACATAAGGCATTACCCTTGAAAAGAAACCCGTGCCGCACGGAGAAGTCGTCTTGAGGAGTTCTGAAACAGTAGGCCTCCCATATGTTGCCAAATTCGCTATCATTCGCGTACAGGGTCTTTATTTCCTGCATACCGGTTACTTCGGTTTGCAACTGGGTAAGGATAGCTGCTCTTCGGCTGAGGGCGTCAGCCACTCTGTTCATTTTTTCGGTTTTATACCTCACTACAAAGCTGAATTTTTGCAGAAAAATTACCCATCTCGCATGCATTTTGTT